CCTGGCCAACATGGTGAAACCCAGTCTCTACTAAAAAAAAAAAAAAAAAAAAAAATTAACCAGGCATGGTTGCACATGCCTGTAATCCCAGCTACTTGGGAGGCTGAGGCAAGACAATCTCTTGAACCTGGGAGGCGGAGGTTGCAGTGAGCCATGACGGTGCCATTGCACTCCAGCTGGAGTGACAGCAAGACTGTCTCAAAAAAAAAAAAAAAAAAAGAAAGAAAGAAAAAGACTTGAAAGAGGTGAGGATGTCTGGAGGAAGAGCATTCTGAACCAAGGGAGGAGCCAGTGCAGAGGCTCTAAGGAGGACGTGTGACTGGGATGGGTGAGGATTAGAAAGAAGGCTGGAGAGGAGGAAGGCAGAGAGTAACAGGAGATATCACATGGTGATGGGGGCTAGATTGGGTGGGCTGTTGTAGCTTCCATATGGTGCCATATATACTGCAGGGAGTCAGGAAAGGCTAATGGTTTTCAGCTCCTCACTTCCTCCCTTCCCTTCCTCCAATTAACTAGAGCAACTACCTTTATTATCTATTTAGTGTATTGGAACCTGGTGTCAGATATTATTTAGATAAAGCTTTCTGCAACTTAAAAAGTGTTTGAAACCCACTGATTGAGTCTTGTACCAGTGGGGAAACTGAGTTTCGGAAAGGGCCAATAACTTATCCATGGCCACACAGCCAATTAGGAAGAAATTGATCTCAAACCTTGGACGTTGGGAGAAGGCTTTTTCTATGATCTGCATCAGAGCCATGGGAGGTCTTGGGAGTCTGCATCAGGGCTTGTGACACACAGGCCACCTGAAGTTCAATCAGCTGGATGCCCAGACCCTCCATATTTCAGCTCACCATGCCTCTCAAGCTCTGCCCAGGCTACTGACTTCTTCTCTCCCACAAGCACATGGTCCATTCCCAAAGCGTTTTCCTCCCTTTAAAGCCACACTCTGGTCAGGCGCGGTGGCTCACACCTGTAATCCCAGCACTTTGGGAGACTGAGGCGGGCGGATCACCTGAGGTCAGGAGTTCAAGACCAGCCTGGCCAACATGGTGAAACCCTGTCTCTACTAAAATACAAAAATTAGCCATGCATAATGGCAGGTGCCTGTAATCGCAGCTACTCAGGAGGCTGAGACGGAAGAATCGCCTGAACCCGGGAGATGGTGTTTGCGGTGAGCCGAGATTGCGCCACTGCACTGCAGCCTGGGTGGCTGAGCGAGACTCTGTCTAAAAAAAAAAAAGAAAGCCACACTCCGATTACTTGAGCCAGCAAGGCACCCACGTTTGAAACTTTATAATGCTCAGAGCTACTGTGGCCCTGAAACAAGTAATGCTACCTTCCTAAGTAGTGTTTTCTGCTCTGCAGGTGCTAAAGCAAATTACATACTTGCAGGGCTTGGACTAGAATGGAGCTTAGTAATATATGCTATACCTTGGGATAGGGTCTGGAATGGGAGAGGTGGTCAGTGAATGTTATTAAGAAAATAAATTATGACAGTCTTTGGAAAAGTACACTTCTAAAGACAGACCTCCTAGTCCTATTCATAAAGAGAAGGTGCTAGAGCAGAGTGGTCAATAGTGTGGAGTTTGAAATAAAAATGACCCAGGTTCAAATCAAATTCCTTAACATGTCAGAGCCTCAGTGTCTGTATTTATTAAAGGGCAATAATAAGTAGATTTGGGGATCATTAGAATTACATTGCATGCAGTGTTCATTAGTTCAGTGCCTAGCCTCTTGGGACAGAGCCCTAATGGCAACACAGAGATCCTAGCCAGTGGTTCTCAAAATACAGTGTGTATCACCATCCCCTAGAGGTCTTGTTAAAATATAGGTTGCTGGTTCTCACACTGCAGAGTTTCTGATCAGTAAGTCTGGGTTGGGGCTTGAGATTTTGGCATTTCTAACAAGTTCCCAAGTGATGCAAATGCTACTTGTTGGGAGATGAAATCTCATCTCCCAACAGTGTCTTAGAGCCAGTGTCTTAGACCAGGATGAGGTTTGTGGAGAGAGAAGGAACTGAAGGCCGTATATTGGCTGCATGTGCAGACAGTCCAGATGGAGAGAGGCATTTGGAGCCTTACCCAGAAGGTGGCCTATTCTTCAGCCCAGGGAGTTGGCTGACTTCACACACCTGGGTGGCCAGCTGCTTTCCCTCTACTCAGTCACAGGCCCTGAGATTCACAGTCCAATGAGAGGCAGCCAGCAAACAGCTCCTTCCCCTCCCACTGTCTCCCCAACCCCCATTTCTTCTAACTGGATAACTTTTGATTTCCAGATAGACAAGCTGAGTGAATTATAAGATGCTAATGGAGAAAAGCAAGAAAACAAAAAACAAAATAGATAAGTCAAAATCAGTCTTTCTAGGTTTCTAGGATTCCTTCCTATCATTTCTCAGAGGTGCTAGTCATTCTGGGAACATTATAGGTCCCTGATACTTGAAAATGGTTCCATAAAAATTAATGGATTCTGTCTGCTACACAAAGTTCATAGACTTTTGGCATCCCACAACCTGGCTCTCAGGCCCCATATGGTTGGGCCACAACCTATACTAGCCAACCATAAAATATCTAACTTTCCCTACAGTCTTCCCTCTGATGAGGTCATAACAAAATCTATTCTACTTTGGGTGTGCAAATCAGGGATCAGCAAACTATAGCTTGCCAGCCGAATCTAGCCCATTGCCTGTTTTTGAAAATAAAGTTTTATTGGAACATAGACATACTTGTACATTTCTTTTGTATTGTCTGTGGCTGCTTTTGGAGGTGATTACAATAGGGTGGGCACACTAGGCCCCATACGACAATGACAGAGTTGAATACTTGCAACAGAGACTATAGAGTGTGTGGAATCTCAAATATTTGCAATATGACTCTTTATAAAAAAAGTTTCCTGACCCCTATTTTAAATCAAATGTCATTTACTCCATGAAAGTTTGCTGAATCCCACCGAGTTGCATTCATCTCATTTTCTCCTATCACCTCCTGGTTTTTTGATCTGTGAGTATGTTACCTGGCATAATGGTTTTCCATGTATATTTTTTCTCATTGACTCTACATGTCTATGCTGACCTCTCTTTGAGATTACAAAATTTAGTACCAGGGCACACACAGTTAAAAAACATTTCTTAAATTATCCACTAAGCCTCAAAGTGGGAAGAAACCTAAACGTCCAAGAGTAGAAAAAAGACCAAATAAATTATGGTGTAGCCCTATGATGTATTGCTACGTAACAAATAAAACCAGTTTATCAAGAATATACACAGGCCTGAGACAAATCATCCATCACAGGAAGTGAAGATTTTTGCAATGACTCTTGTAATACAATCCCCCTTTTATAAGTAAGTAAAAATAATATGCTGAGGAATTAATTAAAAAGACTAGAAAGAAATATACAAAACTTTTATTCCTCTCTAGGTAGAGGGTTATAGGTGACTTTCATTTTATTTTATTAGTTTGTGTATTTTTCATTCTAAGAATATATTGCTTTTAGAACCGGCGTAAAAATTCAAGTTATTAAAACACTAGCAGCTGGCTGTATGCTGGCTTTGCCACATTCTGACTGTATCACCTTAAAAATTTATCTGGCCTCAGTTTGCTTATCCATAAAATATAGGGAAACACAGCCTTCTTCACAGGGTTTTTTTAAAAACAGCACAGCAAGCCCCCAAGTGCCCTTCTTCTAAACAGACTGCTGCAGCAACTGGGCTCAGCATTGAAATGGGGACTGTCTGGGAGCCACACGATGGAGACCGAGCTGGCACCTTGAGAGGGAGGCAGAGCTGTGATGCTCAGAGTGGTGCTGAGGCGGACTCACAGCTCTGCAGCAACACTCGTGTCCCCAGCCCTGCACCAGGACTACTGACTGGGAAAGGACTTCTCCCCCCAAAGCCTGCCCTGCCACAAAAAGCCCCTAGCTTCCTTTCAACACAAAGCACAGCTGCTCTTTGTCTTTCATTTTCACACTGAACCAGCTGTCCCCAGCCTGCGTGGCCAGTGCCTGCCCTTCTGCATTTCCCACCCTGTCCTGTTTCTCGCCACCTCTCGTCAGCCTGCGCCTGCCATTTTCTTTTTTCTTAAAAGTCACACCTTCATCCTTCCACTGAGACATTTTTTTTTCTTAGCCAGAATCTTTCTGTTTCTTTCTCTCCCCCGACTTGCTAGAAAATGTCTTTGAGACTATAAGTAATGATTTTTTTTTTTTTGACAGAGTCTCACTCTGTTGTCCAGGCTGGAGTGTAGTGGCACCATCTAGGCTCACTGCAACCTCCTCTACCTGGTTCAAGCAATTCTTGTGCCTCTGCCTCCCCAGTAGCTAGGATTACAGGCATGCACCACCATGCCTGGCTAATTTTTGTATTTTTAGTAGAGACAGTGTTTCACCATGTCGGCCAGGCTGGCCTCGAACTCTTGACCTCAAGTGATCCACCCGCCTTGGCCTCCCAAAATGCTGGGATTACAAGTGTGAGCCACCAAGCCTGGCTAAGTAATGATTTTCTATTTTTTCTTTTTTCTCTACCCCTGCCCCCTCTTCTTTTATAAGTGTCCTTGTTGAATTTTTTTTTCTCTGATCATCAATAGGGAAGGTTAGTGGATGAGGGAGACCAGTTAAAGGGCTAGAAAAATGGTCTCAGAAGAGAACAGTGCAGATGGTGAGAAGTGGATGTGTTGGGCTAGAAATGGATAAAATCCACAGAAGTTACATATGGGAAGGATGAGGCCCAGCAAGAGCCAGTGACATGCCTCAAGGTTATGTAATTGACCAAGGGACAGATCAGGGAATCTAGGCCTACATCCTTGCAGCCCCTAGACATATCCCAATACCTGGATATATCATTTATGTACCCTATTCTACATACTGTCCAGGGGTATGGAGATGTTTGGCCTAATTACAGTTCATCGCTCAGAGTAATGCATATAACAAGGGTCTGTGCATACTTGAGAAGCCAAAAGGGGACCTACTGACTTCTGGACTTCTGAGAAGTATGTCATATCTTCCCACAGCTTCAGAACTTGAAGTTTCAGGGAATCTGTTGATGACTGGGCCATGGAATTAGAGGAGCATGTTTTGGACTACAAGCAGTGGAGATAAGAATCCCCAACTCATCCATCATCAGCTTTGTAAGAGTGGGAGTCCAGACTCTGCCTCTGTGGCACTGTCCCCAAATCTCTCTTGGAGTCAGAGTCCCCAGCCTAAGAAAGCACCTGTAGAACAAGGTGGGTATCGTGGAGTATGCAGGGAGTTAGCACACGAGGAGACATGGCACAGACTGTCTTGGCTTGTGGCCATGATGGCCAGGGTTATTGGTGTCCTTGCTGTTGTTTTCTCCCATGTGATGGGAGTGGGAGGGAGTGGTCAGCAATCCCTCCTAGGAGCAGGTGTCCCGGTCTTGATGAGGCCACTTTATATCTCTATGCTGCGTGGGACTCAGGGGGCCTGTGGAGTTCTCCTCCAGATCTTGCTTGTTTTCGTAGAGACTTGGAAACTTTTCCCCGGTGTATCAACAGAGACTTTAAGTCCCAGCTCTGACTTCTGTCTTTACCTTTTCCCCCTCAGTCCATGTGGTTTAACCTCTTTTGAGTTTCTAGCAGGTACCATGAGCTACCTGTGGCTCAAGAGGGAAGGGGAATCATGTACCCAAATGGGTAGAAGTTTTGAAGGTCTCAAGCAGATCCTCACATCTTCCCCAAACCTGATAATCTCCTCTTCAGAGAAGATCCCAGCTTCTACTTGCTTGGGTACCCATTAGGCCTGAATGAAGACTGCTGGGGGCTGTAATATCATGTCAGCAGTGGGTACTGCTTTATTGGTATGGTCAGTTTCAAGGTGAAACTTGTTCATGCACCAGCTTAACTTAGAGATTGTGAACAGTCACTGAGGAATTTATGCCCATCAAAGGTGGAGATTGCTTTGCAAACTTCATAGTCAGGCTGAAAAACTGTCTCTAAAGTATACAGGTGTCAGGTATCAGATACCTTTTTTAATAATCCAGCTACTACATTCTACTTAGCCAGTATACCTACTATGGGCCAAGCATGTACAAATTCTATTAATTAAATTTCAATTATTACCATGGAATAAATTTGGGCATTGAGTCACAGAGATATTAAATAATTTTACCTGAGGTCAAGCAGACAGTTTATGGTCAGGTTGGGCTTCAAGCCTAAACCACTCTTACTCCACAGTTCTTGGTTTTCTACTTTCAAAGCCTCCCTCTGTCTTCATATCATTATGAAAAATGGTTGCTTGAACACCTGCTATGTTGGGCCTGAACTCACTACCACCCCAGATGAACAATGAATGGCTAAAAGAGGTATGAATGTGTTGCTTAGGCCTGTTAACATGTGCTTAGTCTTCCCTCTTTCTCCTCCCTCTCCTCCCCTCATCTCCTATTACTTGACGTCTGATACTTGCCTAGCCCTGGATGGAGAGACTCCCTTAGCTTCACTAGAGAAAGGGGAAGCTCAGTATCTCAGTTTGAGGCTGTTCCTGCATCTTCAAGAAGGAGCCCAAGGCTGGGAGGAGCTTCCTCCTTCCCTGAACTCACTCAGTCAGTGATATGCTCAGGTAATTTATCTCTCTCTGAAAGAAAAAGAAAGGAAGAAAAAGAAAGAAAGAAAGAGAGAGAGAGAGAGGGAGGTAGGGAGGGAAGGAGGAAGGAAGGAAGGAAGGAAGGAAGGAAGGAAGGAAGGAAGGAAGGAAGGAAGGAAGGAAAGAAAGAAGGAAGGAAAGAAAGAAGGAAGGAAGGGAAGGAAGCAGGGAGGGAAGGAGGGAGCGAGACAGGGAGCGAGGGAGGGAGGGAGGGAAGGAGAGAAAGAAATCCTAAATTTTTAGCATTTGCCAGCCTCTGCAGTGTAAATACTCCCATCACGGCTGATTTCAAGCCACCAAGATGACAACTGAAAGTGAAGTTCGGAGGGATGGGAATAGCCCACTCTCCTTTGTCAATGGGAGCCAGCTTTAGCACACTGTAGTCTTCCTTTCATTTGGCTTTGAGTGGCATGGCTAATGGATTTTTCACTCATTGCTTTTGTCTTCTCCCAGTTAAAACACTTCACCTGCTTACTAAAAGCCTTTGACAGTAATCAAGTTCTTCCTGCCAAGCTAGGCCCCACTTGGACTGTCCAGGAGTGAGTTAGGGAAGACAGCCACCACCTGCTCCCCTGAGGGCCTACTAGACAGAAAGCCAACTCAGGAAGCTCCAACACCATGCCAGGCCTGGGGTGGGGCATCTATCAACAGAAAGGCATCGTCTTTACTTTTGAAACGCTAAAGGTCTGCTGTCAGGAAACAATGAACATTCTCATACAGAAACACCACTGGAAAAATGCCAGAGTCTAGACAAAGTCCTCATTGCTGAGTGACAGAGCTTCATGGGACTTTCAAATCATTTGGTTCCACTCCCTCGTTTTGCAGGAAAAAGCTAAGGCCCTGGGAGGGTGAGTTTTTGCTAAAGGTCACAAAGTTATTTGGTGGCAGAGGTGGGGTTGGAATCCATCTTTCTTGACATCTAGAAGCCAATTCTTTTGCTGCAGAATGGGCTGTTGGAAGCTGTAATAGCTTATTGAACCAGGGAAAGATAGACATCTCTCTTCCTCCTGCTAAGATGACCAACTCATCTCCCTTTTCCTATGATTTTTCTGTTGGCACTGAAAGTCCTTCCCTGTATCCTAGAAAAACCCTAGGTAGAGGCAGACCCTGAAAATTAATCCCTGGTCCCCTTTTCTCTTTCCCTTCCTTCCCTGTCCTTTTCTTCCTTCCATCATACGTTACTGGTTCCTGCCCACAAAGACCTTAGTGTCAAAGAAAGAAATCTTGAGAAGAGAATTGTGGAGGCTGTCCTCCACCCCTACCCAATTTGGGCTAGAGTTCACCCAGAACACTGTAACCTCTTTTACTAATGCCTCCACTTCTTGGTCTTCCTTTTAAAACAGAAATAGATTTATTGGATTGTAAAAGCAAGCAACCAGTGTAGATTGTTAAAGAAATTAAACAACAGAGACGTATGTGTGATGGTCAATGGATGTCTTCAGATAAGCTCAGCACCTGGACTAACAGGATAGTGTTTATCCTTGAAGATAACTTCATTTATCCATCTGTCTATCATCTATGTATCTATATATTGCTGTACCATATTGTATAATAAAGATTCCCATTCTGGTAAAAATTTGACCATATTAATCATGTTACTTTGTAATCTAGGATTTTCATTTAAAAACATATCATGGATGTCTTTCCACATTGGTCATTTAAAGATTACCTCATCCTTCACAACAGTAGCATATTCTGTTGTGTGGGTGTACCCCAATATATTTACTCAATCCTATTTTTAAAGACAGTTAAGTTATTTCCATTTTAAAAATCATAAACAGCATTTTCTACAGGTATCCAATAATCTTCTTTGGATAGTTTTTTTAAGAAATAAATTATTGGGCTGAAGTATTCATACTTATAATGGTCATGCAGCAAGTCCTTGAAAAAAACTATTCCAATTCATGTTCCCCTAACAGTCTCTTTTCCACACTCCTGTTAGCCTTCAGTATTACTGGATCAGTATTACTGATCCAAATCGTTTGTCAATTTGATAGGTCAAAAAATTCCATTTAAAAAAAAATTTGCTTTCCTTTAAATTTTAGCAAGGATGTGAATCTTTTCACACATCTGTCGGCTATTTTTATTCTTTTTTCAATATCTTTCATCTGAAGTCCATACTTGTACATGCCCAGGCCTCTGTGTAAACACTTATCACTACGAAGGACTTCAGAGAGCAAGTCATGTCGGCCCTAGTATTTATTCTACCAAAGAAACCTTTATTAGTTTTCCACTGTGTACTGGGTGTGTGGTTGTGTGGCATTAAATACCAAGAAATGTGACACAATGTTCCTATTCTTGAGGGTTCCTAAAGTCTATCATGACAGACAGACACGTGCTCACATAGCCCAGGAGAAGAGGACATGGCAGCTCCTGCGGTGGCCTGAGGGCAGCAGCGTCCCGTCTTTCGGTTCTAAATTGGTATGTTAGTGCTGTCACTTTAGTTCTCTCAGACTTGAGGTTAGACACGGGGGCTTTGCTCAGAGCTGGAGCTTGATAATAAGGAACCCCACCTGTCCCGAGGAGCTGAAGACATTGTGTGTTGTTTTCTGGGCAGTCTCGCTGACCTTCTCAGATTTCGAGTTCCCTGGAAACTTCACCAAACCAGTGACTCACACCTCCATGCCCAACCACCCAAAGCAGTCCACTTTGGCCCTTCTGTAAGTCCCTGGAATTCAAAAACACTGGGTATAATGATCAGAGAGGTCCCAGCCAGCTCCTGGCTCCATGACTCAGCTGTCATCATGATAGATGTCATGGACGATACCCAAATAATTGTATGGGACACAGTGCCTGTCCTTGAGGTGCTTGCATACTGAAGAGCCTTTGTGAGAATGTCTTTGCAGGTCACATGAAAAGCTTTCAGCTGCCGGGCAGAGTTGGCTCTCCACTCAGTGATGACCTCATCCACAGTTACCTGCATCAGTGGTTCACAGCCCAGGTGGCACATTAGAAATCACCTGGGGAACCTTAAAAAAACATGGATGCCGAGGACCCATCCCAAGACATTCCAATCCAATCAGTCTGGCATGAGGCCCAGGCAGCAGCGTTTTGTAAGAACTCCCCAGGTGGTTCTAATGTGCAGCTAAGGCCGGGAACCAGTGGCTTATAGAGAGCACAAAGAGATGAATGACTTAATTACCCAGTGGTTCAAGACTATTGCCTCTGTTGGTCGCAATGTTATCTCTGTGGTTTGTCAACTTCTTCAATCCTTTGAGGGTAGGGATCTTGGACCTCAAATTAGAGATTTTCATCTCCTTAAGCCAGGCCTTCCCCACTCACAGTTATTCTAAAGGCACCATGTCTGGTAGTTAAGAGTGTGAACCTAGACTCAGGACCCTGGTCTCGAATTCCTGTTCTCGAATCTATTTCGTATAAGACCACAGGAAAAACAATACTAAACCTCTGTGTGCCCTCAGTTTTGTCACCTATAGTTGTGGACAGTTCTAATAGTATCTCGAGAGTGTTGATGGATTAAGTAAGTTTCTAGGATACAAAGGTGTTAGGAGAGTGGCTGGCCATCGTGAACACTC